TATCAGCAAAATCGTTCACCTTAAAATATCATGCCAAGGCTAGAACACACTTTATATACTAAGATTGACATGCAATCTTGAGAAGCTTTTTGATTTTCTCTGAAGTTTTGTAAAAGTTTAAGTTTATATAGTATCACAAGAGATTTTGTTGCGAGATTGGGTTCTAATGTGCTGTAATATCTAACAGGATTTAATAAGGCAACTCAAAATGTGTCACACCAACCTGTGAGAACACTGCTCCAATATCATCGACTTTTGAGTGCCGAGTTCCTGGAGGTCATTTGAAGCCCTGGAATGAGTCTCCATTCAGTTTCCTATTAAAGAATCTTTTAGTAAACTGATGCATAATAGACCCAATTCATGCCACTTTTACACTACACATTTGGTGGTTTCTACACTCCATCCATTGTGGCCTGACTTGTAATGAAAAATTAGCAACTTCCCTGAAGGAAGGAGCCTGTGGCTGTACACTATTGCCTGCAGTGTTGCACTTTGCTGTTGGCAGCCTGCTGCAATTTGAAATCACTGAACAGCTATTGGTGGTGTTTTTTCCTCTCGCGGACATCCCTCCCTCGCCAATTCCTGATACCTAAACAACGATATTCGTACCGGCAAAAACGCTGCCTGATATTCAGCAATTCATCAGGCCTCCAACACTGTTATTAAGGCAGTGGTCGATTGAAAGGAGGGGCTGAAAGCTATTGGGAAGATCCATATGTGGAACCAAACCCAGAAATTGACATACAGCCAGAGGCTCCATTAAAAGCATTTTAATATAAGTAGCTTTTGAACTCTCAATCCCAGCGGTTACCAACAGGCAAGATAATGCAAAATAAATGATGCACAGACCATCCTACCCTGAATAACATCTTTGTTCAGGTTCACAGAAATGCCTGGTTCAGCTTGGATTTTAAGAATCAGTTTGTTTGTAGGAGCTGGGTAAAACCCATTAAATCCAAGGTACCAGAAACAGCCTAACACTTTCTCTGTGGGCTCTATGGATTCATAGAATCATAGAATATTACAGCAAAGAAACAGGCCATTTGACTCGACAAGCCTGGGCAGGGTAATTCTTCATACAGTGTTAGGCTCTCTGCTGCTCACTCTCCAGACCCTTTAATATGCCTCTTTTCAGTCATCTATTTAATTCCATTTTAAAATAATGTACAGGCTCTGCTTCAATAACAATTTATGGCAGAGAATTCCACATTCCAATGACACTTTTTGTTAAAAAAATTCTAACATTTAATTGCTCTAAATTGGTGGCTTCTAGTTACTGACCAGTTGACCAACAGAAATAACCAATTAATATTTACCCCTAACCCTTCATAATCTCAAATGTCTCTGTCGATATCTCTTTTATATTATATATTTCCAATAATAGGATTGATGCACAACATGTCTAAAATACTATTCAGGACAACAACCACAACAACAAATTACATTTGTACAGTGCCTTTCACGTTGGGAGGAAGTCCTAAGGCGTTCCTCTTGTTGAGCTCCCCTAAATCAGTTATCAAGAATTCCAGGTGCAAAAGTTATCTTAAAGCAATGTTTAAAGATTCCCTGTTTGATATCTAAAGCATTTGATCACTAGTCTGGATTTCTCAGGATTGCTCTATCTAATGTGCCAAGCTCTTGGAAGCTGACAACAGCACTTTTATTCCAGTAAATCTGTTACAAACTTAATTATGTTAAGATTACTGTAGAATATCCTATGAATGTGGCCATCTGTATTGTTAACCCGCCTTTTTTCAGAATTTTTTAGTTGAAAATAGCAAATTGGCAAGTGTAATGAAGTAACTCAATAATAATAATCATTGCATTTGATATAGTGCCTTTTCATGGCAAAACATCTCAAAGTGCTTTGCAGAGTTTTTCTGTATTGTGTATTTGTAGACAAACACTGCAGCACAAAGCATTAACCTACAAACAGTTATGAAATGAATGACAATTGTTTTTTTCTATCTGGGGAATTATTGGCTCGGACACTGGGAGAAACTCCTTTCCATTTTGTGCCATGAGATCTTTAGCATTCACCTGAACAGACAGATGAGATCTTGGTTTAACACCTCATCCACAGGATAGCACCTCTGACAATAAAGTTCTCTCTCAGCACTCTGTTGGAGTGTCAGCCCACTATGGGTTTAGAGTCGTGATTTAGAGATGAGGATGCTACTACCTGAACCAGGCTGATGCCTTGAGGAATCTAATCTGTGAATTAGACCAGATTTTACATAAATATGTTTAAATGGGCTTCTGGTTCAGCAAAAAATCGCTTTGTTTTGGTTGGGTTGAATCAATCAACTTTAACTGCTTTTCCTTCGTCTTTAGTACGAATGAGTTAAGATTTGGTGTGTTGAAATACCCAATCTGATAAATTATCTACCAGTGAAGAATTAAATCAGCATAATTTCCTGTGTGTCTAAAACAAGCAGGAAATAGTTGTGCCTTGTGGTACCTTACAATGCATGACAATGATTAGAATCAATGAACAAAACATTCTCGTTTCCACCACTGCATCACACTAAATTAGACAAATGACAAAAGTGATGGTGCCATTCAGGAAACTAAGCTTGGACTCCATTCAGTCCCAGCCTAATAGTGAAGTGGAATTGCAACTTCACACAAAACAAACAGTGAGTTCAGAAACATTTCAATGAATGATGCTAAAAGATTCATGGATCATTGTCAATAAAAATCAGTCAACACCAAACTTCATGCATCATTAACCCTGACTTCATTGGTCGACACTTGTCAAAGATTCCAGAGCTCTACCATTGGTGCATTTATGCAGCTCTGTCGACTAACACATATACTCTTGGCAAAGATATCTGGTAAGATATTACTGTTTTGATTTTTTCCCCCTGAAATACCATCTCAAGCAAACAAACAAACAAACAGGCCCTGGTCAGCTGAAGGTAGCTTAGCACTACCCTCTCACTTTAACGTGAAGACCGAAGGGAAAAAATCCCTAATCCAGAACTGTGACAACTTGTGTTCTGCTTGGAAACTGAGAGCCTGCTTTCATTGTTTGCTTGTGATAAAATCTTTCAGTCTTTCGCATTGGGCACTGTGCTCTTTCGATGAAGGCTGTAAAGACAGTGCAGATTGACTTTCTTATGTCATGTTTCTATGGGTGTTGACATGTCATTGCTGTAGCAACAGCTTTCAGCATTCGATTAGTTGTGCAAACACTCTTTCTTCTCCATGGAGAACCCAACAGTGTGTAATAGAGCACAAAGTGTAGGCTTGTTTGTCTGATAAAAAATTAGTTATTAAATAGTGAAATAATTACAAGTATTTTACTATTACCTATGTGCCATTGTTCTTTCACTGGGGTGGAAACAGTGAATAACTGGGAGCCATTAAAGGCAGTAATCTAATCAAGAAGTGCAGAGTTAAAGTGCTTGAGCTTCACTGAAACCTGAGTGCTTTATCTCTGAACCCTGAGATTAGATTACAGTCTTGTAATCACCCATTGAGCTGTGTTATTATTTTACAGTACGTAGAATTTGAGTGCTGTGGGAGAGGAGGAAGGATGATGTTTGAGAACTATAGCAATAGTCAATCAATATAGACTTGGGGAGGAATTCCACTGTGGTCTAGATTTACTGTATTTATATAGCTTTTCAGCGAGTCCAGAATGTCGCAAATTCCTAAACACAGTCTTAATTTTGAGGCTGGTTTAAAAATAATAAGTCATTTGTTCAGAAAAAATTGTAGTTTCAGATATTGCACTCGCAAATCTTCATTTCAGTGCCTAAAACTCCTGCTGGTCCCACTGTTTAGGGACATAATAATCCTTGCATTTGATATAGTATTTTATCACATCATCAAGTCATCTCAAAGCTCTTCACAGGATATACTGTAAAGTGGAGTGACTGTGCATTTTGTGGGTGAAATGCGGCAGCCAGTTTGCATACAGCAGTGTCCCTCAAATATCCACGGAGTGAGTGCCCAATTTTGTTTGGGGGATTGATGGCCAGGACTCCAGGAGAAACTCCTTTCTCTTTTCTAATAGGGCCATTTACAGTATATCCTGTGCAGCGTTTTGAGATGTCTGGAAGACGTGAAAAGCACTATATCAAATGCAAGGATTATTATTATTACTAAGGGATCTTTTAACATCCACCTGAACAGGCAGATGGGACCTTGGTTTAACGTTTCATTTGAAGGATGGTGAACATTTCCCTTGTGTATATCCATAGGAACACATATTTGAGGGATTACTAGGACTGTTTCCATCATTATTGACTGATTACCAGACAGAACATTGGTTTCATGCACTAGAATAAAATACAATTCAATCACAGAGAAATCTGGATGAGCGAGGGATCAAGAAACTGAGGGAAAATTACTGTAAATTCTGGAAATTCAATACCTCTTGGAACCATACCAGTTTTTAGCTTGTCTGCAGATTATAAAGGGATGTTGTCATCAAGAAGCCTATTTGGGAAATGATTGCTAGATGGTACATGATATAAATAATTATTGCACTCGATAAAGCTCCTTATCACCTCCACCAACTCTTGCATGGGGAGACTATGAGCTTAAGGTCCCGGGTGGAGTTTGCACTCATAATCTAAAAGTGCACAGTCACTACACTTTACAGTAAAATTCTATGAAGCACTTAGAGACATCCTCCGACACCAAAATTGCTCTTTCAAATGAAAATATTATTATTATAACCTTTTGATTCCGAGGTGAAAGTGTTACCAACTGAACCAGCTGACACCTAAGCCTTGGAAAGGAGCAGAATAGATGGGTCAACCATCCTTTGCTTGTACCTTGCTTTATGTTATTATTTAAAGAGTTTGCAAGGGATGCTAAGATATACACTTAGCCCTGATAGAAAATTCTAAAATGCTCAAAACTGCTCTGAGGCTCAACGCTTCAGCAGTCCATCAAATTCTTCCTTTGGTTCTGCTTTTGAGTCTTGGTTTCCATCACCGTTTCCTGTCTGACTCGACTAACTAACTTTCCCTTTGTCTTATCAGGAGGGGAAAGAAGCACAGCATGATCCTGCGGACGCAGCTCTCAGTCAGAGTCCATGCCTGTATTGGTAAGTCAAACCTTTCCTAATATATTGAGAAGGTGAGTGAGCAGCAGGAATCATGCCCTCCAAATTGAAAGATTACATGAAGAGCGCTGACGATGACAAGTAATATAACATTGGCTTGAAGTGACCCAAGAGGTACCATGAGGGATAGAAGTCCGTGACCTGCATGTCCAGATCCATTCAATGCATTAAGTATCAGATGAACCATTGAATATCAGGTGGACTATCAATTATCGAGTGAAACAATAAATATTGAATGGACCAATTAATCAATTCCTGTTGAAGGTGTATTTATTGATATTTCATGTATAATCTCTGCTTGTTGGTTTGTGAGCTATTAAGGTATGGGTTGTTGCTCTTCATAGGACTTGGGGACATCAGCCACAGCAACCAATGTTGTACTATGATTCTAGCACCTTCCTTGCAAAAGCTATCACCAGCATATCATGTTGGATTTTTTTTTGCGTCAGCTTGACTAAAGGTACCCTCTCCTGGAAGTTTATCCTGCTAACATCCCTGCAACTGGATGATTCACAATCTGGGAAATCGAGGGCACAAACTGGTTCCTAACAGTATTAATATCAAGCTTGAATTTTGCTCCTGCTTGAATCTCAATTTCTTACTTCCCAGAGTTATCCTACGCATATCCTGGTCTCTTTGCCGGTGAGATCAGGCTGAAGTTTATTATTCTGTTATAAATCTTGAACACTTCTGCTAATTATAATAGGTAGACCAGGCGGTCACTGTGCTAAATTGTCTTGTCTTCGTTGGGGTTTTAATGGGCGATTAACCCTTACCAGGGTTAGTGAGGGGAAAAATTAGTCAGGCCTCTTGCTCATGTGCTCTCTTCAGTAACCCTCTGCTGGTTGTGCATGTGTGGCAGCTGGGTGAGGAGAGGTCAATACAGTCGAGTGATCTGCTAACATTCACTTCTAAAGTTCAGACATAAAGAATGGTCAGTTTGTTGGGGGCACCAGAGTGAATCCGTGGAACCATACCCCAGTAAAAGGATGTCAGACCAGGAGCGCAGGTGCATATGCCAGTGAGTAGAAAATTAGATAAAAATAAATGGTTGCACTAAAAAACCCCCAAAATCAAATCTTCCTATTTTAGTGCTATGCTCTCAGCAGAGCACCTTTCATTTTCCAGGAGGGAATAAAGTATTTAAAAAATCAAGTCTACTGACCCAGAAAAGAACATTTCATGTGTGGTGAAAATAATTATCAACTTGCTTCCAGCAATTTAGTAAAACGATCTGGGCCAGGAATGCAAAAACGTATAAATTAGCTTCATTAAGTGATTAAAATGTGGTTATTTTGTATTTTTTACCTTCAGGATTTATGATTCTTTTGACACTAATGCAATCCTTTAGCTGTGAAAAGAAATGATACTCCAATTTGTTGAGACTTGTTCTTCTAAAGAGACCTCATCTGGAAATGTGTCCTAAATCTTCTGAAAGGGACTCTGTGTCCTTATGAAATTGATGATATGCAAGCCAAAAATCTCCTGTTTACAAGCACACGGCAGATAGCCAATTCATGTGGTTTTCAGTCCAGGTGGCTGGGATACCAATGTAACTCAGTCAGGAAATGTGGCATTATTTGGAGATATTGGAACAGAAAGGCCCTGATCACAGGCAGCAAAAACAAAGATGGTGCCGGTTGGCTTTCGGCTGCTACCAGAACTCTTGTGTATGTGTGTGTGGGGGGGGGGATGGGAGTGGTGGGTGTGTGGGTGTGGATGGTTCAAAATAAACTGTAACCTGGTTTGTTATATAAAGAATACAATGTATTGTGGTAATACTATGATTTTGACCCCTTATTGTTGTTTATTTCGGGATGAGTTACATACACTCCTTCCCCCTCCACTCTGCGGTGTTATCCTACAGGATGAGTGCTATATTAATTCATGTTGTTGCTGCTGTAGTTCTTACTAGCAACCAGGAAATGGGGTGAAGTCTCATTCTCTTTCCCTTGGAAAGTTGAATGCAGCCTCACTCATCACAGCTGCTGGAAAGCACGCAAATAAACTGGAATCAATTACTAGTCTGAGTTTCCCACTCGTAGCCACTCTGAACACTGGATGTCACGGCTTCCAAAATGAAAGCACTCAAAGTTCACAAATCGAGCTAAAGTCATTCATTTCACAAGATCACAGGAACGTTTTGAATGAATGAAAAGTGTTCTTTTGGTCCATTTTATCTCATCCTTATTGAATATGCACCTTACTGTCTTGCTATTACAGCATCAAGCTAGTTCCAAAATAAGTCCAATGACCTGGTCGTTGCTAGCCTTCCTTGTAACCCATTCCAGCTGTTAGTTATCCTTTGTGCAAAGAAATACTTCCTGGTGTCTGTCCTGAAGTTGCCCTTCATTCTCAAAACTCTCCATTGAGAACATTCTTCAGGATGCTTTCTCCAGCTTGATATCACTGTAGAAGACTCACTCTTCGAAGTGATACCAGACATTCAGGAAGGGAGTTTCTGGCCACACAATTCTCAGTTCTAATAGTGCAGATGTCTTGCGGTGCTGGAATCCTGCACCAGATCTTTAGCAGTATTCTGCGGATTACAGATCAGAACAAATGAACTTTGAACCTTAAACCATTTTGACATTCAAGATGGAACATGTGGATACTGTTAGCAGCTCTGCTGAAGGAGAAATCTGACTTTCATTTTTTTTTACTCAATACAGTACCTGGAGGATTCATGAGAAAGGGACTGGATTGTTTGAGCTCTTGATGTTAAGTTTGTTGGAAAGACTGGACTGCATCAAATGTGTGGCAGATGCGATTGGTTAGAAAGGAGTTACATGATCAAAACGCTTCCTGTTTTCACTTCACACAACATCAATATTGTGCTTAAATGTAGGGCACTGTTCTCCAGCAACCTTGGCCCAGTAGGGCTTCTTTGAAGAGCCAGATGCAAACGTATGTCCCTTTGTAAGGAACAGATACTGGAGATCAAGTAAAGGAGAGTATGGATTGGAGAACTTAGCAAAAATAGCAGAGGCTGAATAAATTGGAGAGGGGGAGAGTGGGTGAGTGTTCCTCCTTCCCCCTTGTAGGGGAGTTTTTCTGCAGAGTTGCCTTAGAGTAGGGTGGTCCAACCTATTGTCTGCTGAAGGCCGGATACCCTATTTGAGAAACATTCCCGGGTCACAAAAGCAATATTTTTGTGTTTCCCTTTCCAGAAACATAACATTTATGGGTTGTGGAGGGAGCGGCTAGGCCAGATGAAATGGAGGGGGGGTTTGGAGTGGAGGGATGAAATCCAGTTGGACAACCCTGCCTTAATGGGTACAGCGTGTGACTATACTGAATCAAACAATCACACCTGTTGCAGTGCAAATGTTTTTGAACCATTGTTGTGGTCCCTGGTTTCAATTAAAACTAAGGTTAGAAGTACAGTAGTTGTCTCAGATGTGATTTGGTGACACAATGATGCCATCGGAATGTCAATCATGCTGGCGCATCTTTGTGTATGAATGTGTTGTGCAATTTCTGCCTCCACTGAAAGTAATACAAATTAAAGTACGGCGTCCAGTTGAACAGTGTGTACTTCAAAAATGAAATAACAAACAACAACCAGATTACATTTGTATAGCGCCTTTTACGTCGGAAGGATGTGCCAAGGCGCTGAATATCACCAGGAACGCTGCTTTGTTTGCAGTTGACGTTGTGGAAGTTGAAAATGGGTTATACTGCCAACGTCATTTTTAAATTGATTCTTTCATATTTTTTGCAATGTCAAATCCAGTCTTATTTCAATCCAGATGGTACATGAAACAGGACACTAAATCTGCTTGGCACAGGCTGACAACTAAATAGAGATCCAGCTCTTGTTTAGAGCCTGAAATATGCAGCAATCTACCCTTATATCCTCCTGTACTGTTCCCTGATACATACTTCTTCAGTTCTTTTTGACGTTGCCATAGAGAGCACACTACAGTGCTGTTTCACAAGGTACCGTCCCTTTCAATGTGCTAAATACTACATGGATAGCAAATTTGATCTCACTTTGTACACCAGCACCAAGTGCCATGTTCACTGATGATGACACTAGTGTTAATTTATTTTTAAAAGTCGTATCACTTGGGTTTGTTGCATGTAACAAATATGTGCGATGGTATAGAATAAACTTGGTTGTACAAGACCAGCCACGTGATAAGTGGAAGCAGGCCTGATAGTCCAGGTCTAACTGCTGTTGGGATTTTTTGCCTAGTTTGTCCTGTGTGACAGGAAAGCTTGCTTAGTGGGAATATAGATTGGTAGAGCCGCTGTAAGTAGATGATGATGATTCTGGATAAGATGACAGCCATCTGTCACTGCTCTTCACTTATTGTCTAATGATTAGCTCCAGTTACACTTTCAGACTAGCAACCCTACCCTTAGTCGCAAAACACAGGGTACGTCATCAGACAGGAAGATCTGGCAGCTGAAATCAGAGCCATTTAGGTCAGTTTGCTTTCATCCATAAAAGTCTGATCAAAGAGTTTCAAAGCACACCTGTGCTTTGGAAGTCTACTATAACATGTGTAATGCAGGAAACCGGGATCTGGAGTGAAAGACAGATAGTATATTGAGGTGGGTTGGAATCATGAGAATCAGCTAAGCAAAGCAAAATAGTGAATATTATTACAGTTTCATGTGTTGCATGACTTAGCTTTCCCTAAGGGGGGTTAGCTCCTGAGTACTGAGTATTTCACGTGAACCCTCTTGCTTAACTGATGAACTCATGTCCCAGTATGTGAATAGAGAGCTCATATGGTTTTAAAAACTGCACCAAGATACTACTGTACTGATTTGAAGCAAAAGTTTGAGAAGTTACATGTAGGTTCTCTGTTTCCTTTGTTTTATTGATTAAAAATCAGATTGAATTACATGTTTTTTTCCTTTGGATAAAGTGCTCCTGCTGTAAAATGTATATCTTTCATTCAATATCTACATTGCAAGCCTTCCTCCTAACACACTCCCCTCACCATGAGCCTATTATTGTTATTAGA